AAGATTTCAGGAAGACTAATAGCGTTGATTCCAGAAAATACAAGAAAATACTCAGAGGAAAAGCACAATAAAAACACAAAATAAAGTCAACAAGAGTTTCATACCAGTGACTGAAGAGAATATTCAAATCATTCACACACATATAAGTACAGTTTAACTATAGAATTAAGTGATTTTCAAAGAATCACAGAATGTTTATATTTTTAAATTGGATGGGACCTGAAGTCACTTAATCCAATAGCACTCAAAATAAGAATCAACAGAATTTATCTCTGCCTCGCCCAAAAATGTCCCTGTAGACTGCTTTAAATTCTTATTGCTAAATACTTCCAAGAGCAGTTTTTTCCACTGTTGGACAAGTCTAGCGGCTATACAGTTCTTACTAACATCCTTGCCAAAAAATTATACTGAATTCAATCTATGCCTAACTTTCACCTGCTGGTCTACATTCTAGAATAGCAGAATGAATCTACTCACTCTGCTATTTACATTTTTGAAATACAAGACAGCTATCATGCTTCCCACCATTTCAGTGGTCTCTTCTTTGGGCTATAAATGTATAGTCCACAGATTTCTTGTGGGTTCTGGAGACATTTCGGAAATACGGTGTACTTCCATACTGTAGTAACGTTTTAAAAAAACCTGCCACTTGTCAAATTTTGGTGTAATATCAAAGAAGAATAAACACAATTTCTTTAAAAAGACTATTAAAATACATCATCTTTTCTAATTACCTATCTATATGAAGCTGGATTTTCTTCACAATACCTCAATCAAAATAAATCATAACAGACTGAAAGCAGAAGCAAAATGCAGCTGTCTCCTAATAAGCCAGAAATTAAAGTGATGTAAAACTATGAAACAATGCCACCACTCTCACTCAAGTTTTTGTTTTACAATACTTTTTCTTCATTTAAAAACGTTACCAAGTAATCAGTTTACTATTTTTAGATAAGTTAGTACTTTTGAAATTGTTTCTAAAACAGTAAATATTGATAGGCATATCCCACATAAAATCTCCTTAGAGTTCTCAGTAATTTTTAAGACAGCAAAGGGTTCCTGAAACCAAAGAAAGTATTTCCCAAGGGCAGATTCCCAGACCTCTAACTATCCTGGGATGCTCTCTTTTCTCTCTCCTCTAATTCATAAATGTGCCTCTGTAAAGAAGGCACCAACTACATATCTATTCCTAAGCTAAAACCCTTCAACATACAACCCTGTCCTCCAGCTAGTGACTACAAGCAATTAAATGGCCATCTGGTACACCTTTATTTTTAACATCTCCCTACAGGTATTAATCATCCAGAGTCAAATACTTTAATTCTTCTTTCTAAGGGATGCAGTCTGTAAATATGAAAATAAAATGAGCAACAGTTTAATTACACTGTGGTATTATCTTTTTAACCAAACTACTTTCACTGTTTACATAAAAATAAAGCAAATTATTCATATCTAGTAAGATGGAACAGAAAGAAAATCCAAGTCTTCTGTATAATCATTTGATTCTTAGCAATAACTTATTCAAAAGTACCCATGTACTGATAGGCAAGAAAAATTCCATCTGTTCTTCTAGCCAATATGACACTAGGTTCCTAGGCCTCAGTAAAGCAAAACTAACCTTTATTTGGAAATGCACTTAATTTCTTCTCATTTCCTTAACCACAGGATTATTAGAAGATAAAATGGGATAAAGATTGGGGCACCTGGGTGGCTCAGTCAATTAAGCCTCTGACTTTGGCTCAGGTCATGATCTCACGGTTCATGAGTTCGAGCCCCGCACTGGACTCTTTGCTGTCAGCACAGAGTCTGCTTCAGATTCCCTGTCCTCCTACCCCCACCCCTCCCAGCTCATTCTCTCTCTCTCAAAATACATCAATAAACTTTTAAAAAATGGAATAGAGACCACAGGTTTATAAGATCCAACATGAAATCCAGAGTGAAAACTGCTGACACCTCTCAGGGAACTTCAAGACTGATAAAGGAAAAGCCTTGGGGCTCTTAGGAATAGAAGTGGTCTATCCTCTATCACACAAATTACTAAATTCCAACAAATCCCTAATTCTTATAATATTTAAAGGTGTATTTTATTTGTAATCAAGTAAAACTATATTAATATGAGAATAGAGTGAAAAAGGAAAGAAGAAAGCCAAAATATAGAGCATTGAAAACAATCACAGTATAATATTAAATTTGTGGTTTCAAATATATCAAAACTTCAAAATAATCCATTTTTACAGTTCTGACCCATCTTCAAAAACAGCCCATGTTTTTGAACTCCATGAAGGAGTTCCTCACGTAACTTTGTACACATACATCCATGTATCTTTTGAGTTTAAATTTTTCTATTATGTTGCATGAAATTGCTTCAATTCTTCAGAAACAAAGTTTGTTTTCACCTTGATCCATACATCCTTTTCTTTCTTAAATGTTTACTTTTTAGAGACAGAGAAAGAGAGAGAGCAAGAACAGGGGAGGGGCAGAGAGGGAGGGAGACAGAGGATCCCAAGCAGGCTCTGTGCTGACAGCAAGAGCCTTACGTGGGGCTCGAACCCACAAACCGTGAGGTCATGATGTGAACCGAAGTCAGCCACTTAACCGACTGAGCCACCCAGGTGCCCCAGATGCATATATTCAAGTTCTACTAATATTAACGGTTCTTACTAACAGTCACCCTAAGTCCAAAACTCCCTCAACTTACATCAACTTATACAATATACTAACATGTATATCCACAAGAGATGTTAAACGCTTGTTAAAATGAACACTGGGATCTCACTCAAAAGTAAATGTCTCCATCATTATGTCTAAGGTTTCATATATGCAATTCCTATTAGCATTAATGATATCCGAAAGACAATAGCTTCAGAATAAATACATAGAACCCTAGAGAAAATTAACACAGTTTTAACTTACATGCTGGTTGGTCAAAAAGAAATATACCACTGTGGCCACAGAAGTACTTGATGAAATATAAATGTTCACAAAAGCATGTCTTGTTATTTTATTAATAAACAAAAGATTCACTAATTTAGTTTACATAAAAGCCTACTGTAATCCAAACTGCTACAAAGAATTCTAGTTATTTGGAAGCTCAAGCTAAATTATTCTAACCCCTCAGGATTTTCAAACATCAGGAAAATTGCAGAATGACATAGAAGTTTTTTTAACTAGAGTTAAAGTAACCTCAGAAACTCACAATCTAGACTTTGTAGCCCCTAAATTACTAATACTGATAATTGATGTTACAGATGAACAATTCAACACTACGTCTTGGCTCAGTGAAATGGCTCAATACATACTTGAGAAATAAATGAATGATAAAAAGGTATAGCCTTTTAAAAAGACAGTCTTTCCCAAGACCATCATTTACTATCACTCATTACACTATTACTGATAACACTATCATTAAGTATCTTAATGAAACTACAGATAAAAATAAAAGCATACTAAAAGCACCAACTGCTCTATTTACAAAATAGAATTTGGAACATTCATTTACAAATTTTCAAGTGCAAAAAGAAAAATCGCCAGATGCACTAAATTTGAATTAGTCAATAAATAAACTTTTATCTTCTAATAATCAGAACTCAGTGTTGGGGGTAAGGTGGAAAAGGGGAAAATGTCTCTCAATGTACTCAGCATGCTTAATGGATGCCATAAATCAAACCTTTCCATGAATTTTCTGGAGCAAATTCATGCCAATCTTTGAGCCTATTGTCACTTTCACACATGCTCACAGGAACAAGATGACAAAGAATGCTATGCCTGAACCACTAGATTCAGGGCACAAAACACTTGATTAACAATTGTCAAGGCTGGGTAGTAAATATTGACAGATATTTTCAAAATAAATTAACCTCACCAATACCTACATAAACCAAGGCTCCTGGTTTCCTTTAAGGATTCACAAGACTATTGGACTTCCAGACATTTATTGAAAATGTGGTTACAGTCTCCTTGTGTGACACAACTGGGAGTGAACAACCCATTTACCAACTGCTGATGAATACCGCTAAACGTTTTCCCAGACAAAAGAGCGTTAAACGTGATTCCATGCGCATTTCTTCCTCCCCCATAAATGCCTCTTCTTCCAAATTTCATTTTATGTCGTATACTTAAAGTTAAATACAGCAAGTTGAAATCTTGGTCAAAAGCACTCCTGTGTCTTTACTAGCTGTGTAACTGCTACATCTGGTGGCAGCACACTTGCATGCAAGAAACCAGAAAACTTAGAAAACAATTGTAACCGATTTGGTGCGTGTTTGCAGTAACCTTTACGCCGATATTTCCCACAAAAACCCACGACCCTGTCAGGGAACAGTAGCCTACTTGCACAAGAGAGATAACGCACCAACACGCAGTGGGTGATGGCGAAGGAGAGAAAGTTGCAACCATCTGGAGAGGGTGGTTTCAAAAGCCTGCCCACGAGTCAGTCTGCCGTTTAAATTGCTCTAAGGGGCCAGGCAGGGGATCAAAGTCGTCTCTGATAATTTAAGCGACTCTCCCCCAAAGGGCAGGGACCCTGCTAGCGAGGGGCATCCTCCAGGTCCCGGGCTGCAAAGCTCGCAGAGCGGGGACCGCCTCTATGGGAGGAGTGCGAGAGGGAAGGGGAGGGGGCTCGAGGATGAATGCTTCAACGGGAGGGAAAACCCACCAGAGACCGGAGGCCAGGAGGTTAAGAGTACTGAGTGTACTAGCAAATGGAGCAGAAAGGGGCTGGCGTCCGGGGGGAGGCTTCCCACCCTAGCAGCACGGGCTCTTAGGAACCCCATGCGAGTCTGCGCGCCTCGCCCCGTCCCCTCCAGCGCGCACCCCCTCGTCCGTCTCCGCCGCCACCCGCGAACCACCACCCACAGCCAACGCACTACCTCCCCGGAGCCGGGCGGCCTCGCGTCCACCTCGTCACCATCCCCCACCCCGGGGTCGGCGGAGGAGACCCGGGGGGCGCGGGGGCCGCGGCGCGAGAGACGAGGCCCGCGAGCGGGCGCGACGGCGCTTACCTTCCCTGGGCCTCCCGGATGGCGGCGTGTGATTCAGCAGGGACCTGGCCGCCGCCGCCGAGCCCGGGGTTGGAGACGTGGAGAGCTGGGACCAAGATGGCGGCCCCTCCAAACTTCCACTGCTACTTTGGACACTCATCAAGCTACTTTCTGGGAACCCGACTCCCCCCCTGCGACGGCAGCGGCGGCAACGGCACCGGCACCCGCCTCCGTCATGGCGGGGGCCGCGCTGAGGGCGAGCGAGGGAGCGAGGGCAGGGAGGGGAGAGTCAAGGGGATGGGGGAGGAAACCGAGAAGGGGGGAGGTAGGAAGGGAAGAGGTGAGGG